TATATATATAAGTATATATATATATAAGTATGTAGTATATATATATATATATATATTTATATGTTTATATATATATACATATGTATACATACATATATATACATACATATATACATACATATATACATACATACATATATATATATATATGTATACATACATATATATACATATATACATACATACATATATATATATATATATATACAAAAACAAACACAAGTATATATGTATATATGTATATATATAAATATATATATATACACAAACATAAGTATATTTTTATATATCTATGTACATAAATACGCATATTAAAGTCTATGTATATTTATACACACATACGTACAGGTGAAGGGTTCACAGCACCTTCCCGAGGCGTTCCCTACACGCAGGTGTGGCAGTCCAACTGTCGCTTGGCGGGCGAGCACTGTGCGGCTGGTGCTTTTGATGTTGCCGCGCAAATCCTCAACACACAGATCGGAGTGGTCAACTTTGAACCGCTACGTCCACTCTTCTTGGGCACGGCCTCTGCTACACAGACTGCCGTTCAGGTGTGTACATAGAGAGAGAGACACACACACACATATATATATATGTATATATATATATATAATGGTATACATACGTGCAAGCAATGTCCACTATTATCACAGTATGTTAATATACGATAAATGTTCACTACTAACTCTGTATGTTAATTCTATACATATATACAAGCAATGATCACTAATAACACTGTATGTTAATACGAGAAATATTCACTATTAACACTGTATACTAATGCTATACATATATACAAGCAATGGTCACTATTAATACTGTATACTAGTGCTATACATATATACAAACAATGGTCACTAATAATACTGTATGTAATATACGAGAAATTCTCACTACTATCACTGTATGTTAATGCTATACATATACATATATATACAAGCAATGATCACTACTAACACAATATGTTAATAGAAAAGAAATGTTCGCTACTTACACTGTATGTTAATAGTATACATATACATATATACTAGCATATACATATATACTAGCAATGTTCACTACTAACACAGTATGTTAGTATACATGAAATGTTCACTACTAGCACTGCATGTTAATGCTATATATATATATATATATATATATAAGCAATGATCACCACTAACTCTCATACACATCTGCTGACACACACATCTGCGCAGGGGTTCGCCACATTGCCCTGTATGATTAACGCTGTTCACGGCAACTGGCAAGAGGCCGGGCCCAAGAACGGCATTCCCATCACCAGTGTGTCACTCGACTCACTCCTCACAAGGCTACAGAGCGCATACCAAGCCACTACATCAGGTCAGTTCACTGTCCGTGGTGTCTGTGGGCTGTGATTGTTGTAGTGTTGTACTATCCTTAAACGGGCGTAGCTCCTGCATCATAGCACGCAAATAGATTCTGTGCGTATTTGCGTTGTACTGTGTACGGGTGTATGTGGGCTGACTTGACTCACAAGCCTACCGAGTGCTTACCAAATCTCCACACAAGGTACGCTCAACGTTTGCGTAGCGCATGGCCTGTGCTGTGAAACTTGTGTATACTCTCACCACCCCCTCCTACCTACATCTGCGGGTGAATCCCTAGACATGCACAGACGATCGTAGCCGAGTAGTATATGGTATTCTCATACCACCACCAACATCTAACCATGCCCCCCCCCATCCCCCTCCTACCTACCCACGCAGGTAAATTTGCTCTGTCTCTGAGCCATTTCCGGCAGATCATCTTGGCCATCCCCTTACTGGTGGTCGAGGGTAAGCGTGAGCTCAACGACGCGCAGCAACTGGTTAGTATCTGCAAGGAGTACGTCACAGGCATCTCCATGGAGCTGATGAGGAAGGACCTGCCCAAGTCTAACCTACAAGAGCAGCTGCGTGTGTGCGAGTTGGCGGCGTATTTCACCCACTGCAATCTGCAGCCCATGCATCTCATCCTGACGGTATGTGTGATGTGGAGTGTGATGGGTGACACGTGGTAGGGCATGTGTGCCAGGGCGACTCTTCCGTTATGTATATA